GCCAGCCACATACACCTAAGGTGGCGGGTTTGAATCCAGCCCAGGCCCGCCAAGACAACAATGACGACTGCAACCAAAAAATAGCCAGGTATTGTGGTGGGCGCCTGTGGTCCCAGCTACTTGGGAGGCTGAGGCAGGAGATTCGCTTGAGCCCAGGAGTTGGAGGTTGCTGTGAGCTGTGATGCCAGGGCACTCTACCCAGGGGGACAGCTTGAGGCTCTGTCTCAAAAAAAAAAAAAGAAAGTAAATGCTCTATAAATGGGTGCTGTGTGTGTCAGTATTATCCTCGCATAGCACTCAGAGGCTAACTGGCTGAGAGAGATATTAGCTAAGATAGACAAACTAAGCTGGAAGCAGAGGGCCTGGGAGGGAAGACACAGGGCACTTCTGACAGGGCTCCTGCCTCTGGTGAGAGTTGGGGCTTCCACTCCCACAAGGGAGGCCTTGAGAACAGGCACGGGCGGAGATGAGATGGAGATACCAAGGTGGAGGTGGGTGAGGCAGGGAAAGGGACCTGGACAAACACTTTGAAGATGGAGAGGGCAGACGTCAGTGGGAGAGGGCAGGAAGTGGGCCCCGGGGTGGGAAAGGGAAACAATGGGGTCAGAAATTCTAGGCTATCTGAGCACTGCAGGTTGGAGGCAGGTTGGAGATGAGGTTACTCCACACAGGCCTCATACTCAAAAGCATAGAGGAGATCCCCAGAACCATAGTTCTGGATGACAGATGATCTCTAGGAGATCATCCTGCTTCAGCAATGCTCTGACACCTTCCTCTCTCCTCTACCTTAGAAACACGAGAAACCGAAGTATGTGCTGTGTGTGACCTTTTTGGAGGGTGGTGACGTGGTCACCGGGGACTCTGGGGGGAACCTCTACATCTGGGGCAAAGGTCAGTGTCGCCCCATTTGTTTGGTCCCAACCCAGTCTCCCCAAACATCCTTGGCTATGCCTCCCTTCCTCTAATGCTGCTCATGTGGAATGAACGATAAACTGGATACTTGTTTAGTTCCCATCAAGGCTTGGCTCATATATGCATGAAATCTTTATTCCTCCAAAGGTTATCCTCTGCAAATCCCATGTTAGGACTCAAGTCTGGATTTTAAATGAATGGATTAACTCAGTTGTGGGTAGATGGAAGGACAAAAGGATGGGTGGATAAATGAATAGACAGGTGGTCTGTCCTAGCCTGTGTCTCAATGAATGACCGACCGAATGAGTAAAGGAATGAATGGGTGAAGATGTCATCTTACTCAATGGATGGAAGAATGAGTAAATGACTGTGTTATTATCCTTAATGGGTGGATGATTAAAGGAATGAACAATTAAATACTATGTAAATAATTGGTTGTCACTACTAATGAGTAATTATGTTAATGTATTATCCCAGGCAGTGGATCTATAGAGCAATGAATGAGTAAATGAGTGAATGAACGAATGAATGAATGGTTGTTTTAGTCAGTGGATTAATGTTATGAAGAACAGACTGTTTCAGGAAGTGGACTGATGAGTGAATGAGTAAATGAGTTGATTGTCCTCACCAATGATGGATGAATAAATGAAAAAGTGGGTTCCAACTAGTAGGTAACTTTATTAATAAATAAATGGATTATTATCTGGGCACAGTTGCTCACACCTGTAATTCTAGCACTTTGGGAGGCTGAGACAGGATTGCTTGAAGTCAGGAGTTTAAGACCAGTCTGGGCAACAAGCAAAAAACAAAACACAATGGGAGACACCTATAGAGCCAGCTACTCAGGAGGCTGAGGTGGGACGATCGGATGAGCTCAGGTATTCTAGGTTGCAATGAGCCATGATTGCACCACTGTCTGAGTGACAGAGGGATAGAGGGATACCCTGTTTCTAAAAGGAAAAAGAGATTCATAGATTGTCCCAGCCAAGGATAAAGGAGTGAAAAGTTCATCATGGTCTTTGGTGAATACATGAATAAAAGAATGAATGGGTTATCCAAGCCACGAAGAAATGAATGACATTTTGGGCCTGGGTACTGTTGCTTTCATATACATTATACTCCTTATTCAGGCTGCCCTGAATATTATTCCCATTTCAGAAGAAAAATACTAGGCTTAGAGAAGGAAGTTACCCAGCACAGTGCCGAGCTGGGCAGAGTCAGAGTACTTGGTACCTAAGTGCCTTGCCCTTTTCACGCTATCTTCTGCACTACACATAGACATATAAGAGATAGGCCTCAACCACAGAGTTCCTCTGTGACCTTAGCTAAAGCCTTTCCCTCTCTGGGCCTCAGATTTCCTGCCTATAAGCTGAGTAGGAGACAGGGATTATCTCTAAGTGCCACTTCTGCTGATAACAAAGAGCCTGGGCCTCAGTGCTGGGGTAGTGTTACCCCAGGCAGGGCTGTGCAGTGGGTTTAGCAGTTGGGAAGGTCTGAGTTCAGGTCCCAGTGGTGTAGCATACTCTTTCTGCAGCCTTGGGAAAGTCATATCTCTTCTAAAACCTAGTTGCCCCATCTGTGAAATGGGTATAGTATCACTGCCTCCCTTCAGGTCTGTTCTGAGCTTTCCTTGAGATGAGACAGTTAGAAGGAGCTCTGAATAAGCGCTGGCAGTGTGTCTTTCCCAGACGACTGTAAACTTTCTGGGGCAGGGACTGCATCTGAGCCGTTTCCACACTTCCAGCCCTACCACTGGGTCCATCTTGCAGGGCTTCAAAGTGTCAGATGGGTGGGTGGTTGGGAAGATAGGTGAACAAGTAATGTGTGTACATGTCTGGTATGAAGACAGCCCAGGTCACTTGGAGGAAGTGATACCACAGCTGAGTGCAATGAGATAGTAATTAAAGATTGCTGGTTGTTCCTTCCTCTCCTGCCCCAGCCTCCTCTCTGGTCGTTTGACCTTCAGTCTTGCCCCCTCCGATTCAGTATGTTTCCAGAAGCAAATGTAAATCTGACCCTGTGCTTCCTCTTTCATGATTCCCTAGGTCCCTTGTGACAAGGTCACCAAGACTTGCATGGCCTGGCCGTGCCTTCTCTTGCCCTTCCTTGTTATACTTAGTCACTTCACTCTAGGTTTTTTTTAGTTCACTTAATCGTCTAGCTTCTTCTACTCTCTGCTTTTTTGTAACATAAGCTTGTCACTGTCCATTGCACCATTTTTCCACCCTCTCTTGTCCCAGCTGACTCCTACGCCCCCTTCAGATCTTTGCTCAACTGTCCTCTTCTTGAGGAAGCCCTCCCTGACCCACTAGACTGAGTTCCCTCTGTGAGATCTCAGAGTCTCTTGGGTTTCCCCATTCTGTGCCTAACCACCCTGAGTTATCACTGACTCGTGGTGAGTCTGTCTTTGCCATTGGGCTGTGAGCCCTGTAGGTTGTCTTGGTCACCACTGTGCCCCCAGTATGAGACTGAGCCTGGAATAAATACTAGTTAAATAATTGTGGATTGAATGGGTTAATGGTTGAATGAATGGACAGGTAGGTTGACAGATGGTTGGATATATGGGTGAATGGTGAATTGGTAGATGTGTGGGAAAATAGAAAATGGGTAGATGTTTGGATGGAAGGATGGATTAACTGCTGAATGGGTAGTTAGATGAAAGAGGGGCCAGATAAGTGGATAAGAAGGGGATGGATGGATGGATGGAAAGAAAGGTGGATAGATGGATCAGTAGATGGGTGGGTGAATGGAGGGGTGGGTGGATGGATAGACAGATTGATAGATGGATGGATGAATTGAATGGCTGAGTGGGTAGACAGATGCATTGACAGAGCAGTAGATAGGTGAGTGGATAGATGAGTGGGTGGATGGGCAGATGGATAAATGTTTCAGATGGTTTAATGCATAGATGATAAGGTATTTAAGAAAATGAAAGGAATGGAAGAAAAGAAAGGAAAATGGTGGGTGAGTGGGTAGGTAGGCAGAAAGGGAGATAGAAGGGTGGAGAGGATGGTGATTGAGTGGACAAGGGGCTTTCAGGGGTCAGTCAGTACAGGGGCAGCTTCTCTATGATGACCCCTTTCTTGGCCACCTTACAGGTGGGAATCGCATCACACAGGCAGTGCTGGGTGCCCACGATGGCGGCGTGTTTGGGCTCTGCGCCCTGCGGGACGGGACGCTGGTGTCCGGAGGGGGCCGCGATCGGAGGGTGGTCCTCTGGGGTTCTGACTACAGCAAGCTGCAGGAGGTGGAGGTGAGGAGGACGAATGGGCTAATACGAGGGCAGAGAGGCCCTGCACCCAATAAGGCTCCCAGCACTCCATCCTCCCCCCAGCACATCACCTCCACCCCTACATGTGTCCTACACTCATCTGTCCTTTCTCATCTGCTCACCCAGGTCCCTGAGGACTTTGGCCCTGTGCGTACGGTGGCAGAGGGCCGGGGGGACACACTGTACGTGGGGACTACCCGCAACTCCATCCTGCAGGGCTCTATCCACACGGGCTTTTCGCTGCTTGTCCAGGTGAGCATCTCTCTTCGATCCCCCTCCCCCAGCTATTTCTCTTCTTTTCCCTGCACCACCCATTTATCTTCTCTTTCCACTCCCATTTCTCATTATCTCCTTGTTCCATCCCTTCTCTGGCCTGGCCCTGACTCAGGACCTCTCCAGAAATGCCCATGATTTCGCAGTCCACAGCTTGAACTGCTAGCATAGCAGAGGGTCCCCAGGCCCCCCACTCCAACTATACTAGGGTTGCATCCTGCAGACTCCTCCCAGGTCTCCAGTGCCAAAGGCCTTGGAAGGCCCTCTGGAGTCTGCCTGCATTTCTTCTTGCAAATGAAATGCCCCCTCCTCCACCCCTGGTGTACCGTGCCCCTACCCTCCACCCCGTTAAAACACCCACCTTTCCTAAAGGCACTATAGCATAGAAATATGAATTTGCACGATTGTAAGAGAGACTTTGCCTAACAAATGCAATCAGTGAACCTGGTTTCTTGTACCCTTAATGAGTCCCCAACAATAAAAGAAAAAAGAAATATGAATTTGGGGGTATGGGCATGGTTGTCTGGGCTTGAATCAGAGCCAGATCACTCATTAGCTGTGTGATACTGGACAAACTCTGCGTCTCTGTGAAACATGGAGAGTAATAGAACCAATTGCATTCTGTGAGTCATTGGAAACAGCACTTAGATGGTGCCAGGCACGAGCAAATGCTTACAAAGTCTTGGCCAAAATTATTCCTTCTTCAGTGGTCCTCTTTCCTTCAGCCTTTCCTAAATTTTCCTTCTGATCGTCTAGCTGATGTCTGTGCTGCTGCATTTAGATCTCTCTCCTGTTCTGGTTTCTATAATAAAAGGAAGGGAAAAAAAAAAAACAAACTATAGGGACTTTCTAGTTGTCCCAAGGCCAAAAGGGAACTTAGAGACCACTAGTAATAATATAATAATAGGGGCGGCACCTGTGGACCAATAGGTAGGCCATCAGCCCCATATACCGAGGGTGGAAAGTTTGAACCCGGCCTTGGCCAGCTAAAACAGCAGGGATAACTGCAACCAAAAAAAGCCAGGCGTTGTGGTAGTCCCAGCTACTTGGGAGGCTGAGGCAAGAGAATCGCTTAAGCCCAAGAGTTGGAGGTTGCTGTGAGCTGTGACACCACGGCACTCTGCCCAGGGTGACATACTGGGACCCTGTATCCCAAAAAAAATAACAATAATAAATAATAATAATAATAATATAATAGTCTGGGCTCACGTAGCACAGTGGTTACAGTGCCAGCCAGATACACTGAGGGTGGCAGGTTTGAACCCAGCCTGGGCCAGCTAAACAACTGCAGCAAAAAATAGCCAGGTATTCTGGTGGGTGCCTGTAGTCCCAGCTACTTGGAAGGCTGAGGCAAGAGAATGGCTTAAGTCCAGGAGTTGGAGGTTGCGGTGAGCAGTGATACCACAGCACTCTACCAAGGGCAACATAGTGAGACTCTGTCTCAAAAAAAAACAATTTTTTTTTTCCTATCTGTAATTTGAGTGAGCATAAGAATTAAAGATTAAACTGAGGTTCCAAGGAGAAGTCACCTATGTAGGTGACTGATTGCCCTCGGTCAATAAGAAAGAGCTAAAGAAGGCCAGGTGTGATGGCTCATGTCTGTAATTCTAGCACTCTGGGAGGCTGAGGCAGGGGGATTGCCTGAGCTCACAGGTTTAAGACCAGCCTGAGCAAGAGTGAGACCCCCCCATCTCTAAAAATAGTCAGGCATTGTGGTATGTGCCTGTAGTCCCAGCTACTTTGGAGGCTGAGGTAAGAGAATCACTTGAGCCTAAATAATTGGTGGTTGCTTTGAGCTATGATGCTATGGCACTCTACCAAGGGTGACAAACTGAGACTCTGTCTCAAAAAAATAAAAGAAAGAAAGAAAGAGCTAAGGGTCAGAGCTGTCAGGCTGAGTACCCTCTGTGAGATCTCACAGACTTCTGGGCTCTGTCTGACTTCAGACTGACTCCAGAAAGGCCTTTGCAGGTCCCTGGAACTGGTGACCCTGGGGGTGTGTGCCCAGGGTGTAGCAACCTGTCTGACTCCTGAGCTGAAGCTCTTAGCCACCTGCTCTCCTGCTTCCACTGTGCAAAGAGGAAAACAGATGCCCTGGGGAGGAGCAGGGTTTGCCTAGACCCACACATACACTGGGTCAAGGGTTGAAAATCATAGCTGCCTTGAGACACACCGGGAAGTCTTCCTTGAGTCCTACTGGGACAGAGTGGGTGGCTGGGGCTAAATTAGCACATCTTTCTGGCATCAGGGTTGGATGGGAAAGGGCCAGGGTTGCAGTCTCCATTCTGCTGTCCTTCCTTTCCTCCAGGGCCACATGGAAGAGCTGTGGGGCCTGGCCACACACCCCAGCCGGGCCCAATTTGTGACCTCTGGGCAGGATAAGCTGGTGCATCTATGGAGTTCAGAGTCCCATCAGCCCCTGTGGAGCAGGAGCATTGAGGTAAGGGGAAGAGGGCTTTGCTAACAGAACGACCTTTCTGTATGTGCAAGGGCTCAGTGTGTCAGTTGGGAACTACAATGGTTTTTTTAAAGAGAATTTAATACAGGGAATTGGTTCCTAGGAGCTCTCTTAATAGGGCTGAAGAAGTGAGTTCTCGACTGGAAGGCAACCCAAGAACACCACCACAGAACTGACCCACGAGGGAGCCTCTGCCACAGGCAGGAGGTGGGACACCTAGAATGACTGAGTTCAGGAACATGCAGTCAGGCCGGGCATGATGGCTCATGCCTGTAATCCTAGCACTCTGGGAGGCCGAGGCAGATGGATTGCCTGAGCTCAGGAGTTCAAGACCACCCTGAGCTAGAGGGAAACCCTGTCTCTAAAAAACAGTTGGGCAAAACCCTGTCTCTAAAAAATAGTTGGGCAAAACCCTGTCTCTGAAAAATAGTTGGGTGAAACCCTGTCTCTAAAAAGTAGCAGGTGCCTATAGTTCCAGCTCCCAGCTACTCAGAAGGCTGAGGCAAAAGGATGGATCAAGCCCAAGAGTCTGAGGTTGCTGTGAGCTATGATGATGCCATGGTACTCTACCATGCTCAACAAAGGGAGACTTTGTCTCCAAAAAAAAAAAAAGGGTCGTGCCTGTGGCTCAATGAGTAGGACTCTGGCCCCATATACTGAGGGTGGTAGGTTCGAACTCGGCCCCTGCCAAACTGGAAGAAAAAAATAGCCGGGAATTATGGCAGGCACCTGTAGTCCCAGCTACTCGGGAGGCTAAGGCAAGAGAATTGCCTAAGCCCAAGAGCTGGAGGTTGCTGTGAGCTGTGACGCTATGGCTTTCTACTGAGGGCGACAAAGTAAGACACTGTCTTGAGGAAAAAAAAAAAAGAGGTGGCGCCAATAGCTCAGTGGGTAAGGCACTGGCCACATACAGCGAGGCTGGTGGGTTCGAACCCGGCCTGGGCCAGCTAAAAAACAATAACAAATGCAACAAAGAAAATAGCCGGGTGTTGTGGTGGGTGCCTGCAGTCCCAGCTACTTGGGAGGCTGAGGCAAGAGAATCACTTAAGCCCAGGAGTTTGATGTTGCTGTGAGCAATGGAGTTGACCACCTTTCTTCTCCATGTGTCTTCCCAGACTGGATAAAAACTACATCTACCAAAATCCTTTGCAAGAAGCTGCTGTGATCTGGATCCCACAGATAGAGTGACACCACAGCACTCTATCCAGGATGACATAGTGAGATTCTGTCTCAAAAAAAAAAAGAACATGCCATCAAAACTGCTGTCCAAGAACCAAGCAGCTGTGGCTGCTACAACTGTTGAGTCTAGGGCTACACTTTACACTGTACCCTATAATAACTATTGGCCACACATGGCTAATCAATTAAAATGTAATAGAATAAAAACTCTCTTTCTTAGTTGTTTAAGCCACATTCAGGGGCTCAATTGCTACATGTGGTTAGTGGCTACTATACTGCAAGATGCAGATATAGAATATCTCCATCATCACAGAAGGGTTTTGGTGGGGGGTTTTTTGTTTGTTTGTTTGGAGACAGAGTCTCACTCTTACCCTGGATAGAGTGCCTACAACACCCTGGTGTGATAGCTCACAGCAACCTCAAACTTTTGGGCTCAAGTGATCCCATTGCCTCAGGCTGCTAGTAGCTGGGATTACAGGCACACCCACAACACCCGGCTAGTTTTGTATTTTTATTTTATTTTATTTTTTTAGAGACAGAGTCTCTGTTGCCCTTGGTAGAGTGCTATGATGTCACAGCTCACAGTAACCTCCAGCTCTGGGGCTTAGGCTATTCTCTTGCCTCAGCCTCCCAAGTAGCTAGGACTACAGGTGCCTGCCACAATGCCTGGCCATTTTTTTATTTTTGTTGCAGTTTGGTCAGGGCCAGATTCGAACCTTCCGCCCTTGGTATATGGGGCTGGTGCCCTACTCACTGAGCCACAGGTGCTGCCCAGTTTTTGTATTTTTAGTAGAAACAAGAGTGAGATCTTGCTTCTTGTCTTAAACTCCTGAGTGCAAGCATTTTACCTGCCTCTGCTCACAGAGTGCTAGGATTACAAGCGTGAGCCAATCATAAAAGGTTTCATTGGATTGTCTTGTTTCAGAGCTACTCATTCCTGGCTAGATTTATAATGGCTAAAAACATATACCCTGTGACATTGCCTTTCAACATGCACAGGCTAGTGACTACACATGGGGCGCTACCATAGCAAATCCTATTGCTTTCACAACCCAATGGTCAGTAGGAGTGGCAGAAGTTAGCCTCTACCTTCTGCCTTGCAGAGCCACAAAAGTGCATCTGATTGTGGTATCCAGATCACAGCAGTTTCTTGAAAAGGATTTTGGGGGCGGTGCCTGTGGCTCAAGGAGTAGGGTGCCAGCCCCATATGCCAAGGGTGGCGGGTTCAAAGCCAGCCCCAGCCAAACACTGCAAAAAAAAAAAAAAAAAAAAGAAAAGTATTTTGGTAGATGTAGTTTTTATGCAGTCTGGTAAGACACATGGAGAAGAAAGGTGGTCAACCCCATTGTAGCCCCCTCACTATCCTGTGAGGCTTTGCTCCAGGAATCTCCTCAGGATTACCTCTGACCCTGGACTACTTTATGGCCTTTGAATTTCTGTGACTGCATAATGTGTGCTAGAAATTGTTAGGGGCATATATCATAAACCTCATCTTGGCTGTTTTAATTGAGTACCTGCTATCTGACAGGCCCTGTGGTTAGCACAGCAGTTCTCAGCATTGCTAATGAGAAAAGATCACCTGGGAAGTTGCTAGAAATAAGAGCCCTATCCACAGAGAGTGAATTCAGGAGGTCTGAGTTTGGGACCAGAAATCTACAGTTTGTAACAAGCTCCCTCAGGTTATTCTGATTCAGGTAGACTATGGACAGTGCCAGGAGAAATTGGCTGAGTACTTCACCTGCACCATCTTATTGGTTCCTCTTAGAAACTCTGCAAGGTAGTAGAGATACTGGATCCCCACTTGGAAACAGGCTCAGAAAGGTGAAATCAGTTGCTCTGTGTCATAGTGTGGTTATAGTCATAGGTAACCTTTACTGAGTGCTTCCTGTGAACCATCCTACTAGTTTGCCAGGCTAAGGGCTTCATATCTTGCTTAAAATGATCCTGGAAAGTGTCTCAAAGACCTCCATTTGCCATTGAAGCAACTGAGTCTCAGACAGGGAAAGTTATTTGATGTTACTCACATAGCTATAAAGTGTTGGAGCCGCAGTTTGAAGCCAGGTCTGACTCCCTGGTGCTGTGTTGTCTGCAAACTAACCAAAGGCCCCCCAAATTGAAAAATAATGGCATCTAGTGCTGATGAAGATGTGAGGAAATGAGCCCTCAGACAAAACTAGTGATAAATTGGTACCCTTTTATGGAAAGCAAATAGCATAATATATCAGAAGTCTTTAAAAGCTGCTGTGATCTGAGTCCCACAATCAGATGCACCCTTTGTCCCAACATTCTTACATCTAGTAAATTAGCTAAGGAAGTAATCTTGGATAAATGAGCCTGTAGAAATTTAGAGCATGGGCTCGGCGCCTATAGCTCAACCGGCTAAGGCGCCAGCCACGTACACCTAAGGTGGCGGGTTCGGATCCCCAGCCCGGACCCGCCAAACAACAATGACGGCTGCCACCAAAAAATAGCCGGGCGTTGTGGCGGGCGCCTGTGGTCCCAGCTACTTGGGAGGCGGAGGCAAGAGACTCGCTTGAGCCCAGGAGTTGGAGGTTGCTGTGAGCTGTAATGCCACGGTACTCTACCCAGGGGGACAGCTTGAGGCTCTGTCTCAAAAAAAAAAAAAAAGAAATTTAGAGCATGAGTAAAAAAGGACCCAGAGACAGCAGTGACAGGAGAAATGTTTTCTATTCAGGCTAACATGTTGAAGGAAAAGAGAATGATTTCTGGTGAGTCCCTCCCTGAAGGGCAAGAGAGGGAGGGAAGAACCTTCATGCCAGGCTGATAGTTGGCTCTGAGGCAGGAAAATGGCCAGAGGGACATGGAATCCCAGCTCTAAGCCTTGCCTCCTCTCCCTTCACAGGACCCTGCTCGTTCTGCTGGCTTCCACCCCAATGGCTCTGTCCTGGCCGTGGGCACAGTAACTGGCAGGTAAAGCTGAGGAGGGCATTTGGGGAGGGGTTCTTTGCTCCCTGGGCAGTTGGCCCTTCTCTCCCCACTTCTCTACTACTCTAAAGCTCACTGTTTCACAGCCCTGATTACTCAATATTCCTTTGGAGTCAGCCTCTCCCAAATCTCTCCTGGGGCCCATCTGATCCCTCCCTCAGGCCCTACCGATGGCTGCCCCTTTGTGTCAGGTCAGCTCACCCCTCCTCCCCCCACCATGCCTTCTCCTCAAAGATGGCTGCTGTTGGACACGGAGACCCATGACCTGGTGGCTATCCACACAGATGGCAATGAACAGATCTCAGTGGTCAGCTTCTCCCCAGGTAAATGACAGGCTTAGGATACTAGAGAGGCAGGGCCTGGGGTTCAGAGTTACTAGCAGGAAGGGATGGAGCCTGGGCAATAAGGCCTGGGAGGGACTGTAGCAGGGTGGAGCTTGGGACTGCTGAGGGGGCTGAGTCTGGGTGAGGAGGGGGCAGAGCCTGGGTGCCTCCTCATAGCCCCCTCCCCCTCCCCCAGACGGGGCGTACCTGGCTGTGGGCTCCCACGACAACTTGGTGTACGTGTACACGGTGGACCAGGGTGGCCGCAAGGTCAGCCGACTGGGCAAATGCTCGGTGAGTGGGCCGTGGCCCCCAGCCCGCGCCGCCACCCACCACCTGGCACAGGGGGTGCAGAATTAACCACTTTTCTACCTAAAGGGAGCACAGCTTCAATGCTCAACTGACTACCCTGATCACACCAAGGAGTCTTGGCTCTGCCCACGCACTTTACCACTTGTGTTCTAGTCCGGAGCCCCTTGTGTAGCCCCACCCTCACGTGCTAAGCCCCTCCCTCCGTGTAGCTCCACCCCTTACGTTCTAAGCACACTCCTCCGTGTAGCCCTGCCCCCTGCATTCAAAGCTGGTCCCTCTGTGTCTAGCTCCTCACACTTGTTCTAAATTTCTGTGTTCTTAAGTGCTTGTGTCTGGCCCCGCCCATCACAGTCTGGCCCCGCCCATGGTAGTCTGGCCCCGCCCCCACGCCAAAGGCCTGTGTATCCTCTCTTCAGACCTCTTGTGTTCTCACCCTACCTCTGTATTTTGCCTTCCACCCTTCCCAATCTAGTCCCGCCCCCTCTTATTATTCTGCCCTCTCCAGCTCTAACTCCTCCCCTTTCGTCCTCTGCAGGGCCATTCCAGTTTTATCACTCACCTGGATTGGGCCCAGGATAGCGGCTGCTTTGTGACCAACTCCGGGGACTATGAGATTCTGTACTGTGAGTTCTCCAAGACCCAAAGACATTCCTCTTTCATTCTCACTTGCAAGTATGATTTGCACAAATTCCCCTGAGTTCTGGAAGGGGAGGTGGGGACTTCAGGTCCCTCTCTCCCCTGACTCTTGGTATTCAGGGGCTGTCCTGATTCAGAATTCTCTGATGTAACCTGCTTTTAATCAATTTCTCCACTTTCTGGTTGGATGGGTGGGATGCAGGTTTTGAAGCAGATGCTCTGCTCAGGCTGTGGGTGTCAGGACCTGGTATCCAGCCTTGTCAGCCAGTATGGAGAAGTGGAAGTGCCCAATGTCTGTGAAATGGATGTATTAGTTTTTTAGTTCTTCTAGCTCTAAACATCTCCCCCGATTTTCTGTCCCAGGGGATCCGGCTACCTGTAAGCAGATCACCACTGCAGATGCTGTGAGGAACATAGAATGGGCCACAGCTACTTGTGTCCTAGGGTTTGGGGTGTTTGGTAAGTTCTAGAATAAGGAAATTCCACTGAGGACAGAAGACATCTCTGACTGGTGGTTTTCATAGTCTTTTATTAGTTCTCCAGGGCAGGGGACTTATTCCTTTACTGTGTGATTTATATAAGAGGAAAGAACAGAGTGATATGACCACTTAAAACTGTAATAGCAACAAATCTGATCATGGTGACAACTGGCTGAGAGAAATGATCCACACAACTGGTGCCCTGCTGCCTATTCCTTCAGGCACTAATGCACTCAACATGTACTCCCTGAGCACCTCTGTGCCCTCTCTGCCCCTAGGCAGGGCAGTGATACTGTGTTTCCCCCAAAATAAGACCTACCCCAAAAATAAGCCCTAGCAGGATTTCTATGCATTTCTTAAATATAAGCCCCTACTCCCATAATAAGACCTAGTGATGGGTCTTGGTAGTACCCCCAAATACGCTACATAGCCACACCGTGCATTTCCATGGGGAACGGTAAGGAAGACTAGAATACCTTTTTTTTTTT